AAAGTTAATAAATATAACATTAATCCTAAGAATATAAGTTAACAAGTTAACAAATAATAAATATGTAATGGGTTAAATGCAGAAAAACCCAATCTATTTGACATGTAGGATCACAAACACCCCTCAAGTAATTTTACAACCGATAAAAACCACACATTTCAGTTTTCCTTTTGATTTTTCCAAATTACCTATGATATCAGGTTTGCTGGTGATAAGCATCCATGTGGTATTTTTCTTCTTTTAATGTTAATTAGATGAATAAATAGTTTTAAACATTTCTTTAATCGAAATAGAGATAACCTGCCGGCCATCCGTTCACCATCCCCTACCATTTTCCAGAAACCACCACAACCACCAAACCTCACTTCCCTTACTTTCCAGCAATCCATACCCACTTTGTTCCCCCTCTGTAGTTCTTTTCCAACCCTAAACCTAGCGTCTTATATTAAATCATACAACGAGCAGACTTTTAATTTTGATGGTGCAAGTGGAGTAGGATGGGAGAAAAGGGGAAAACAATATGATGGGTTCAGAAGGGTGAGTGGTCGGTGGGATAGAAGGGGGTGACGGTGATGGGTTTGGAAGGGGGTGGATTTGAACTGATGTTGCAGAAGATCCATCCTTATGGGGTCGTCGGTGTTGCAGGGTCCAATGTATCCCCATTAGATTCTTATGTGTTGACTTCTTATCATCGAATGGCAGGCCAAGAAGTGGTTATAGAAACAAATAAATCACCATTGAAAACTGAAGCTCAAACATTCAACCTCTTGTTACGTGAACTAAGAAAAAGCGAAGAAGAAAAGAAGAACAAAGGACCACCTGTTATGTGAACAAAGAAAAAGAAAATAAGAAAATATGAGTTTTGTAAGGAATAGTTCCACATCCCACATCGTTGCTGGGGAAAAATAATAGGCAAAGATATTCTATAAAATGAGCGACAATCCCCTTCTAAACTTAAAACAACTGTGCTTTGGGTTGTTGGCTCCATTGGGCCGACGACTTCTTTAGAGTAGGCTGGAATGACTTGGTCCGAATTGGTGTCCGAGTTGGTCCGATTTAGTCCCATTTGGACCGGCTTTGACCAATATTGACCAAGGCCGATAAATTAACCCTCTAACACCTATTCGTAGGCGGTTAGAGGCCGCCAAGCGCCTAGGCGCCGATTAATCGGCCGCCTAGACCGATTTTTACAACAATGTTTTTAACTATTTACAAAATATTCTTTGGTTTTTTAAGTGGAACTGAAATTTATATTTAAGTTGACATTGTAATGTTATATTTAAATTAATAATTTAAGTATTTTGTCCAAACTATTCAAAAATTGTAGCTTTAAACTGATAATGGTTTACATACAACAACATATTAAATGTAATAAATTCAGTATAATATATTAAAAGCTAAAGACATAACTTTATAAGTAGAAGTAAAGATATTGTTTTAAAATTCAAATTTAGTATATATTTATGATTACACTTTAGGTTTGATATTTATTTAACCTTTTTAACCAACTTAGAATCATTATTAGAATGACACTACAATTAATCACTTTAAACTATTTACAAAATATTCTTTGGGTTGTTTAAGTTAAACTAAAATTTATATTTAAGTTGACCCTGTAATGTTATATTCAAATTAATAATTTAAATTTTTTATACAAATTGTTTCAAAATTGTATCTTTAAAATGATAATGATTTACATCCAACAATATATTAAAACTAATAAATTAAGTATAATATGTTAAAAGTTAAAAAAAACATAACTTTATAAGTAGAAATAAAGATATTATTTTAATATTGAAATTTAGTTTATATATAATTACACTTTAGGTTTTATATTTATTTAACCTTATTAAGCAACTTATAATTATTATTAGAAAGAAATTGAAAAGTCATGGGAGTTTCAAATGAATGTGGTGAAAGGAAATATGCATGAGAGTTTCAAATGAATGTGATGAAAGGAAAAATACTTCCTTTATAATATAGTATGATAGGATATATATATATATATATATATATATATATATATATATATATATATATATATATAATTGTTGACTTTGTGGTGACCTACAAGCTTGGTCGAGGCCTTGGGTTTAAACCTATTCGTCTTTTTTTCTTGTTTTCTTTTTTTTCTAATAGAGTGTATAAGTTAAATAACATTGGCAATTCCATATTAGCTTAATGGTAAAGCGGGTGTACACGTGTTCAAAATTCAATATCTGAAATTTCGATACAAATATAAAAATACTAAACTTTCAAAAAAATTATTTCTCTTTTATTTAAACACTATACAACATAATAAAAGATTGTTTTCCTTTTCATTTGATAAATTAATTTTTTCGGTAAAATATACTAAATTACTATAAAAAAATATTTTGTAAAAATTATTTAAAATAAAAACTTAAAAAATAAATGAAATGACATAAGTAAAGTCACCACAGTACTCCAAACCCCCTAACTCTCCCTATCTATTAAATTTTGAAATAAATTTTATTTAAAAAACTAAATGTTTCGAATATTGAATATCTGATATGTCCGTAAATTTAGAAAATGTCTATCTAAATCCGAAGCCTAAATATTGTATCCAGTTTTCGGATATGGAATACAGAAGAAAAGAAAGTAAGAAACAAGTTATTTATGTTAGGCTTTATTGGTATTTAAATGGCTAGGTGTGATACATATATATTACACAAGTTAATTAAAGAAAAGTTAAATATGAAAATTTGTAAAGGATAATTTATTTTTAGTTGACAAATTCATATATTATATGGGTAATTAAAAAATAATCAATTTATCTGACTATAATTTATGCTATTAAATATGAAATTGATATTCAATTTCGTAAATGATTACTAATATCGGTGTGTGAGACGTAATGGCAATATTGATAACATTCTAAATTAAAACTAAAAGTTAGTTCCATATAAAATACAGTGGGATAAAATGATTTCCTTGATGAGCATACATCATAAATATAAAAAACATAAACGGAAGGTTATTATGTACATAATTAACATATTAATAATATTAATTATTATGAGGTGCTATTTATTAGGTGACATTTGAATTAAAAAAAAAAGGATAATAAATAATTTAACATAATTAGAAAATGACAAATGTCTAATTACATGATAAGATAACATATGAAATAATGAATTTTGATTTATTAAAGTAGATTTTACAAATTAATTTAAAGTGTATGGTGTGACAAAAATCTACTTACTAACACTATAAATATCCATGAACTCTTTTATCTTATTACCAACCCAAACTAAATTCAAAGATACAAACATGTCACATGATAGCATGCCTCTTAACCAAGAGGAAGTTGTTCGTCCCACTGCCAACTTTCACCCCAACGTTTGGGGAGACCAGTTTCTAATTTATGAAGAGGTGCCTAATGTATTACAAACAATTTTTTTGTATGTGCTTGTTTATTAAAATCTAATTAATGGTAATTCATGATGGAATGTAGCAAGCTGAGGAATTTTTTTGTATGTGCTTGTTTATTACAATCTAATTAATGGTGATTCATGATGGAATGCAGCAAACTGAGGAAGATGATATAAATCGAATTGTCGGTGATCTGAAAGAAGAAGTGAGAAAAGATATACTGGCAGCTTTATATGTTCCAATGGAACATACGAAACTGTTAAAACTAATCGACACAATCCAACGTCTTGGAATAGCCTACTATTTCGACGAAGAGATTAAGCAAGCCTTGCAACATATATATGAGAAATATGGTGATAACTGGACTGGTGGTAGCTCTTTCGTTTGGTTTCGACTCATGCGACAACAAGGGTTCTACGTTTCATGTGGTTAGTTTGCATTCTAAAAACCATATTATCTATAAACAAGTAATTAATACATATATAACTATAAGGCTGTAATTAAAATCATTGGCCCAAACTACAAAGCATATATCGTTGGGTTTACAAGCCAATTTCTCCCCATAGATAACTTAGTTCAAGACTCTAGATAATAATAACGTTCATCAAACTCTCCATAAACATCATGTTTGCTTAAAAGTGAAAGGAGAAAAGGCAAAAATGATCAAAGACGATAATCACTATGTCCTTATATATTGACTCCAATTCCTATAGGTAGTGATCGATTTTGGCAGTTTTCATCGAATAAGAATATAAAAATTAATTGCTAACTAGAACAGATAATTTCCAGCAAAAGTCGTGCCCAACCTATCAATTAACGCGCGATGCCAGATGATTAATGGACTACATTACATATGGGACTCAGTCCTTTTCACTAACTATCTGGGACAAAAAAAAATGGGTTGATAAATATTTGTTTAACATGCATATGCTCAATATATTAATCCTATATGTAGTCGAACCTAACAATCTGTTATATTAACCATAAACAGATATTTTCAGTAACTACAAAGAAAAGAATGGAGCTTTTAAGGAATCGTTGACCAATGACATTCATGAGATGCTTGAGTTATATGAGGCAACATATATGAGGGTGAAAGGAGAAGTTGTACTAGAGGAAGCTCTTCTTTTCACAAAAACTCATCTTGAAAAACTAGCAAAGGATCCTGTTCGGTGTAACTCTACTCTTTCTATACACATACAGGAGACACTAAAACATCCCATACAGAGAAGGTTGCCAAGACTTCAGGCATTACACTACATTCCTTTCTACCAAAAACAAGCTTCTTGTAATGAGTCTTTACTTCAACTTTCAAAGTTAGGGTTCAATCTACTTCAATCACTGCACAAGAAAGAGCTTAGTGAAGTTTCCAAGTATATATACACCTCTTTCTTTTCTAGTTTCATATATCAATGTATCAATATTTTAGTCTTCTCCATGTGTATTAATCAATATTATTGTAGGTGGTGGAAAGGTTTTGATGTCCCGCACAAGGTACCTTATACACGGGACCGATTGGTTGAATTGTACTTTTGGGCATTAGGTGTATACTTTGAGCCACAATATTCACGTGCTAGAATTTTCTTAACAAAAGTGTTGGCAATGTCAACGATGATTGACGATACTTATGATGCTTATGGTCTTTTTGAAGAGCTTGAAATATTTACTGAAGCAGTTCAAAGGTATATGCACACGAAACATGAACTTAAATAAGCACATTTTAGTCCTCCTTAAGCCGAATAATTAACTTGACCAAATTAACCAAGAAATTTGTAAAATAACCATAGGTGGTCGACTACATGCTTAGATATGCTTCCAAACTACATGAAACCAATATACCAAGGACTCTTGGATGTTTACAAAGAAATGGAAGAAATCATGGCAAATGAGGGGAATGCATATCGTGTCAACTATGCCAAAGAGTTTGTAAGTTTCAACGTCTGTCATTTTTTATAATCTTTTTAGTTAAGATAATCTCATATGTAACTAACTGATGCCTAGATGAAAGAGTTTATAAAAAGCTTCATGTCAGAAGCAAAGTGGGTTAACGAGGGCTACATACCAACCATGGAGGAGAACATGTCAAGTAGATTCATAAGTGGTGGCTATAGCATGCTTACCGCAGCATCTTTTGTTGGCATGGGGGATATTGTGTCTGACGAGTCGTTCAAATGGGTTCTCACGGATCCTCCTATTGTCAAAGCTGCATGTGTAATTTGTAGACTCAAAGATGACATTGCCTCTCACAAGGTACATGTCTATTTGTATTCACATTGTTCTTGTACAGAGATTAACATCTTTATTCAACATCGAAAATATCCGGTGTAGTTTAGGCTAATTAATTTCGTTAATAAAAATACAGCAAGAGCAAGAAAGAATACATGTCGCATCTCTTGTTGAAAGTTACATAAAGCAATATGATGTCACAGAGGAGTATGTACACGACTTGTTGTATAAGCAAGTCGAAGATGCATGGAAAGATATATCCCTTGAGGCCCTCATATGTAAAGATGTTCCAATGCCTCTACTTATGCGTGTAATCAACTTAGCACGGGTGATAGATGTATTATACGAAAATAAAAACCATTTCACAAACGTGGGAGAAGAACTGACAGAAATTATCAAATCTCTATTTGTTCATGATATGAGTATGTAACTTATGGTTCTCCGACCTAGATGCACTCCACAGTTGTTTATCCGTTATTTCAATTTTCAAATATGGTTGAATAAAACAGTAAGTTATTTGTTATTGTATTACGTACCATGTTTATGTATTGAATTTGAACTCGTCAATGTATTTCCATCTTTCACAAATAAAGTGCTTCATGTTTTGTAAGATCTCGTATTTTGAGTGGAGCTAGCAAAATTTGATCCAACCGTCACTATAAGAAAAGTCCTTACCGACCAATTTTGGTAGTTGTACAAATTTAGTGACCAAAACTATGATTGTCACTCAATGGTCACTAAACCATAGAAGAAAGTTATTAGTATTATTTAATTTCATGAACAAGTATTAGTTTGTTATTAATTAGTGACTAAAAGTGGTAGTCACTTATTGGATATTTAATGACTAAAATCTAGGGAAGGACCCATGCTTTGCATGGGTGGATTGAATTTAAGAGTAGATATTACAAAAATAGGAAAACAGCCCCTTGAATGGGTATTTAAACAATTTTTGAAGAATAAATTCCAAAACAAATGAAACTATGATGAGTTTTGTTCTCCACGTCTTTCCAATGGCCTTCCATTCCTCTATCTCTTTGTTCTGAAGTAAATATAATCTACCATCCCAAAATGCTAGTGTTGTTTTCACATGAAAAAGGAAGCTTCCCAACAACCGATCATTTCTATAACAAAATGAAAATGTAAAATGAAGATAATACCAAAAGAGATATGAACAGTGAACTAACCATTTAGCTTTGAATGAATGGCTGCAGCTCTTGCTAGCCCTTTGTACTTTTCCTAGTTTGGTTCCACAAATAAATGCAATGAAGAAATCTTGTTTTCATTGGAAAGTATTGGCTTCAAAGTTAGAATTATATTGATTGCTTGGTCAAAACCTTTTAGAACTCCCTGAATGTAAATAGCTGTCATGAGTACAAGAATTAATGTGCTGTGAACAGAGATGAAAAAAAGTTTTTGAGTGAAAGACTGCATAATGTAAGAGGCGATCAACAGTAAATTCAAACCCAAGGCCACCAAACATTTTGGCAATACCACTTGTGATTCAATGGCTTCAGTTGAAGAAATCTGAGTAGAAAGTTCTGGGGTGAAGGAGGGAATAAATTAGTGGCCGTTGATAAGAAGTTTGATCGAATTTTTTTACCAGAATTCATTAAGGACTTTCATCGAACATGTTAAATGCATATAGTGTTCCAATCCTGTAGCTGGACTTTCAATTTGGGGGACCGATGGTATACAGGGAAGAGGTTTACTCCGATGATTCTTAAGCTTACTGATTCAATCGCAACTGAGAAGACACCAACGATGAACCGAAGGTGGAAACGATCTTCAGTAGAAAAGAGAGTTTTTCTTAAATGACGAAGTAGTAAGGCGGTGTCGATCCGTCAGCAATCTTGTTCTACCGGTGTATCCTCACCGGCATAGTTCGCCATCTCCAGCGTCGGCGCTCGCAAATAGCTAGATTCCATGACCTTGTGGTATTAATCGCATGAAGCAAGAAAGCAAGAATGATCAGAGGGAGAATGAAACGGTAGCGGAGGTGGGTGGCACATCCACTGCTGCCTATGTCGGTGGAGTTGGAGGTCTGGACGAAAATGGAGATAAAGAAGAAGACGGTGAATTATTAACCGATGATATAGCGGCGCAACAACCGGACGAGAGGGGTGGTCGACACTGTTCACATAAACTAACCCAGGTAGAGTAACCCGAAGACGAAGGCGGGATCCTTTGGATATTGTTGTGTCGACATACTAATGGTCACTGAAAAGATATTAGTACTAATAGTCACTAAATTATAAAATTGAAAAAACATTAGTGATTAGAAAATAATGGTCACTAGAAGTGTTTCCCCCGCGTTGCGGGGGTTGGAAGGTGTCGCTTCTGTGTTAAATATAGTACATTGTCTTAAAAACGCATAGAAGTCGAAGTAAAATGTCAACGAAAAATTTGTCTGTCAGTAGGTCAAAGTCTCTATGAAATCCATAAACATCTTCAACTCTTCTTTATAATCTCTGCAAAGTGCAAAATATAATGCAGTCAAAATACATTCATATAACTTTATGTTTCGGAATGATGAAAGACATAGACAACAAACACCAAATGACATAAAAGGGGTATGGAAAAATTCTATGGGTATTTTCCATAGCAACTTACGTGTTGCTTGTAAAATGAAAGACGTAAAAAGACAAAGAAGCCCTTGTTTTTATGTATTCCGAAAATGACCTTTGGACATCTGCTTGATTTTGTTGGAATTGTTGTAGTTTTATAAAAGGAATAATCTTAGAAAAGTCTTTCAAGAGTATGTACAGATAAGAAAATCTTTTGACTGTAATAATGACTATATACTTTTCAGTTTAATTTTTTTTTTCCCGCATTGTGGCTACTGTTTGAAAACTTTATTTTATACTAATTTAGTTTTTTGTAGGGCATTGTAATTGTAAAATCGTGTTGATTATAGCAACGAAATTTTGATGTATGTGATGGTCAGTGATTATTATTATAATCAGGTAGACTAATGACAAATTGGTTTATCATTTGAAATTGATTGAAACCAAATAACTTTTTGTCTTTCCTTCACCTTCTATTCTTAATTTCAAGTCCTTCTACATAGCATATTTATAAATAAGAAGTTGGTAGAAGCAATGTAGTAGTAATCAATAAAAAAAAAAGACCTTCACTACATGTGGGAAAAGTTATGAATAAAACTGAAATTAAGATGCTATAGTGGTACAACAAAAAAAGTTATGAATAAAAATGAAATTAAGCAACCGAATTAAGAGATAAGAAATAGATGAAGCTGTACCTGAAATTGAGGCAGAAGGTATCATAGTCTTTATGTACTCTTGTTAACCTAATCTGAAATATACAGCAAATTTGGCCATTATGGTAACACAACGTAACTGTTCATCCTTGGTTGTAATGAAGGGTAATTAAGTACTTTTACATTGAAGAGATGTAGCAAATTTCATGTACCTGCGATGTTTAATTTGAGCTTGTTTGTAGGGACTTCAAGGAACCTTTTGAGTTATCCTTTCCAATTCTTCCTATAGTGAAATAACATAAGTTTTATGTTAAAATGATTTGTAGGAAAACTAATTTAAAAAAATGTGTAAAAAAAGCACCTTAGAAAGCTAATTACATTTGAATAGAAGGATCCTTAGTTTTCTTTTGGATCATCAGACCACATGAGGTAGTTCTTCCAAAACACGGTACATGTTTGGTTGTTTTTCTCCAAGAAAGGTGGAGTACTGGTCGACCAATTTGACTTCCATGCATCCTTTGAATTGATTCTTGAAAAAATGTCCCAGAAACAATCAACTCTTAACAGATTTTTCATGTATCAAGTTTGTATTTTGACAAAAATAACACTTACCTGTTGACAAACTAAAGAAACTGCATCGTTTTGCTATAGGAATTTTGACATAAAGTATTTAACCGAATTGCAAGAAAAGTAACCTCAATTTCTCCCCTACAACACCAGGGTCAAGATTGCCAATATAAATCTACGACAACATTAAGAAAGAAGAAAGTTATCAAGAAAATGGGCAGAAGCGTATAATCCAAAATATCTAAGCTTACAGTTGTGTTTGTTAGAGCAGTGTCCATAACAATAGCAGTCACTGTAATTTTAAAACATTGTTAATATGCTTATATTGTGATTCCATCACTGTTTGGACCATCTTCAGGGGAAAAGATCATAACATTGAAGATACAAACAAATATTGAAAATATATAACATAAAGGAATTACATATAAAAAGTTTCTTGTGCTTACATGGCTGATTGCTTCTTTGGAGCTACTCCCAAAGCCTCACCATCAACAATACATGACATTGCAACATCTACAAGACAAAGAAATCATCACTAAATCAGCCTAAGATGGGACAAATTGGTGTGTACATGGTAATGACAAATTGGTAAATTCATGATTATGCATTTAAGCACCTGGGCCATTTTTAAGACCAACTTAAACATGTTCCTTTTCAAAACCAAATCTTTAAGACCACCCAACAACATTCAACAAAAGGGTAAGTTGGTGTTTTAATTTATGTCCATATTTTCTTACAGGATCCTTGTAAAACCATTCTAGTAAAGTAACTTCCATTCCAAATTTTGCAAGTATAAAATCCTTTTTAATCAATTAATATACATGAAAAACTTAGAGTAAAAAAATTATGATGCAACAATTCAAAAATCTCAATTTGGCATTTTAACAAACACTTGGTGGGCATAATTTAGTTGTGGTTTTAGTGAGCTTCAAAATGGAAAGCAAAAAAACAACGAAATCAAAATAAGAAGGATGCTGCCCTGGTCCATCAGTTGCCCTGGTCCATCACCAGCATTAATAACATAACTGTTAGCTGTCATGGCTACCCTTTTAGCAACAGAACTTTCAAAATGCGTCGGCACAATTATGCGTGAATACCTTTCAACTGTTCTTATTGTATCTGGAAAACAGTATGAAATAAAAATGAATCAAGTGGTGTTATTGTTATATCAAAGAAGTTAAAAAAAAAAAAAAAAACTACCTTCGAGTGTCTCTCTTTTTGCAGCTGATGAAAACTCCCGTGTGCATTTTCTGTAGTCAAAACCTCCCCACCCAACCGTTTATCTCTAACTTTGCTCGAATCCACTCGGACTCATACAAATTCATCATCAAAGCGTCTTCATAGTTCATACCCACCAAAAAACTGCATAAACCGGTTTTTAAAACAAAGAGCATAAACGAAAATGGAAAAAGGGAAAAGGTTTGATATTCGAGATGCTCTGAAGGAGTTCATCGGCTTCGATGAACAGTGTTTTACTAAAAAAGTCAAAATTGGACTTCGATTTCAAGAGGGCAACCACCCTTAAAAACCATCTTCTGAAATTGCGTCATCTTATCTGAGTGGAGTTGTTTACACGAAGAAAATTTGGATAAGAGGCTCAGATCTGCAAGTTTGGAACCGGAGAAAGGAGATCAAACACCGCCATGGCTGCAACACCATTTGTGCTGCACCACCATGGCTGCAACACCATTTGTGCTGCCCCGCCAAGTTACGGGCTGTATTTCACCCTTCGCCGGAACCCGATGCTCGGAGAAGTTAGATGCAGAACAATATCATCACAGCGTCGACATGGATATCAATGGAAAAAATTATAATTTCCTTTTACCTATGACAAATGTGAATTTAATTTTAACCGAATATTTTCTAAACAAATATAAGAAAATATATCACTATATAAACTTATACCAGCATTATGTATATAGAATTTAATTCAAAATATTAGATATAAAATTTGTCTAATTAAGTATTCTTTATGAAAGTTGTTGGAATTTTTCATTTAAAAGTATTCATAAACGCTTTTAACTCATATATGAATATTCCATTTAATAAAATTGAAAATTTATCTGTTGTTAAAAATTAGTATTTGATAAATGCCTTTAATTCGTATATAAATTTTCCATTTAATATATATATATATATATATATATATATATATATATATATATATATATATATATATGTTCAATCGAGAAAAATTTTAACCGCGAGAACATTTGAGAACAAATTTATACCACAAATTTTTTAAATGAAAAAAAAGAGTCGCCTCAATTAATTTTTAATTAAGACTGGTAATTTTACTTGAGTCTCTGTTCTTTGCTTATTCACACACAAAAAGAGCGACAATGCACCCTGATCTTCCCTCCGCCAACACCGCCTCCTCCTGCTAATCACATGAAATACACTCACGTGTTGAAGCTGGATGACCTAGATTCATCGTTGTTTAGATTTTGTCAGATTGATTCAGTTGTTGAATATTATGAGTATATTGGATCTACTAGTGGCGAAATTGAGAGCGACTCCTCCTTCAACGATGCAAACCAGTCTCTGAGCTCCATATCAAGGTACAAACATCAACTACCATTTCTCTTTCTCGCAATCGCACTATCCATTCACTTATCACTCACTCGCATACACTCCCCATTCATTTCCAAAACCCTAGTTTCCCTCGATTATTCACATCTTCATCTAAACTCACTGTTGAACAAAATAAAGTCACAAATCAATCCGTTATTACATCAACATTGATCGAACTATATTCAGATCCAATCAAAACCAGTGAAGATGTTATGCTCGAATTGAAGTCCAAACCCGACCTCACTAGTACTGATTATGTTAACGAGTTTTTTAACAATTGCAGCTTGGAACCTGGAGCTGCTAACACTTAAAAAATATTATAGCAATTCATGCAATTAGTGTAGTTGCATTGCATAACATACTTCTTCCGGCCCAAATTCAACACAGTGCTACATAGCATCAGTCACATGCCGCCTTTTTTCCCTTTTACTTCAAGCACCAGGTCTACTCAAGAAATAGGGACCATGAGTCAGATATAGATAACATATGAATATTCTAGGCTGCTTATCAATTTGAAAATCTTTTCCATCTTAATTTTTTTCGGAATGTGGAAGTTGTTGATAACCTACCTACCTACCTACTACATGGTCTTACATAACTTATCAACTATTGCCACATTCTATTCTATAATACATAATAATGATAAATGAAAGGTCTTGTATGATATAAAAACAAATTAATAACAATGAGAAATGAATTAAGACAGAGGTTGATGTTTGTATACTTACAGTCTGTGTCTGATTTGATCCAACATTCCCTATTCCCATCTGAATCATTGGTACAAAATTTTTCACGTTTTTTAGAAGTATCCACTAGAGGAAATAATGTGAGATGGTCAGACTTAGGTGCAGTAGTTTCAGGAAATAATGTGAGATGCTCGAATTCATGTAATCGGTTGTTAGGTATGTTGGGGACAAATGGTTAGGTGAAAGAGTTTTGGGATTTAGTTGATGTTATGAAGAAGAAAGGGTATGTAGTGAAGAAAGGTGCGTCTGTTAAAGCCATGGCAAAATTTGATGTTATGAACAAGAAACTTCATTCTCATTCTTCAAATTTATAGTGATGCATATTGTGACATCCCAAATTTCTCGGCCAGAAAAGACCGATTTAGTTTATGTTTTTTAAATTAAAATCAGAGTAATCATTTGATTAAAGTGTTGCGGAATTTGTTCCCAGAAAAACATGATAAATATGTTATCAAATCATTTCCGAAGAAATGTATTTTATTCATTTAAACCATTGGGATGTCATTGTCAATACAAAAACATAAGCATAAACAAAACTTACATTCATTTACACTAGTGATCTACTTCTCTTTTAATCTCTCAGTGTAAAGCAACTTCGTATCGATACATGGGATACAAATAAACTGAGTGGGTCGGGCTTGGGAGCCTGGTGAGCATATAGGGTTTTCAACCCACAATAAATAAATTTACTATGTTTAAACATCAAACAATCAACCCAATTACCCATCCCCATTATCTTCTTTAATCTTAAGGATCTACCCTAAGAATCATTTATCCTTCATTCCTAAGGATTGACCTAAGGAATAGGCACGAAGTCACATCGTCGCCAGGGTTTATACAACAAGCACTAAGTCCATAGCTGCCAAGGTAACCAAAAGAATAGGCACGAAGTCACATCGTCGCCAGGGTTTATACAACAGGCACTAAGTCCATAGCTGCCAAGGTTTTTAGAGTACATCTAATGAACATATAGTTCACACACCTACAGGTTGCGAGTCTGCTAGTGTTCCATGGACCGTCTAGAATAGTCCATGGTTGTCATCCATACTCTGCTGAATGACAGGGCCATCGCTTGGCTCATCGCTTCTCACCATAATTTACCACTCATATATCATCGCTCATCATTTATCTCATCATTTTATCACACATCAACTTATTTCACCTAC